GACCTTCTGCGCCATTATGGGCAGGAATCATGGACTCTAAAACACTGGAAAGCATATCTAAAGAAGAGCGTAAACGACAAGAAGCCATTTATGAATTAATAATCACGGAACAAACATATCTTCGTGATCTTCAAATCATAATTGAATTGTTTTATGGCCCTCTTCAAAGTCTCCTTTCCGAACAGGATTTATCAACTATATTTTGTAACACTCAGGACATTTTATTATGTAATACTGCTATTCTTAGCGATCTGGAGCAACGCCAAGAGGAAGATGCCTATTTTGTTAGTAAAGTTGGAGATATTTTGCTCAAGCATTATGAAAATTTAACGCTATATACGAAATATTGTGGTAATCAACTGAACGCAACCAAATTTTTACAAAAAAAATGTAGTGTAGATAAAAAATTTGCTGATTTTCTTAAGGTAATTCACAGATAACAATAGGAAACAGAATTAAGAAATTTAAGACAAAATTAATTGTACATTTATTCTGCTATAGAAAATTCAGCAAGATCCGCAATGCGGATCATTGGATCTTTCTAGCTTTCTGTTAAAGCCATTACAACGAATCACTAGATATCCCTTATTAATACGTCAGGTAATAAAATTTTGTATGTATTCCTTCCTTTATAACAATCTCATATTTCTGATCTATTATTTTTTACATTTATTTTGTTAACAGATATTGCATTATACAAGCAAAGACAATATCGACCATCAAAATATGATGCAGGCCCTTCATAAGGCAGAAAAAATCCTGGAGGAAACAAACGAGGCAGCACGTGAGCAGGAGAACCACATGAAATTGAATGAAATATCAAATCTTGTAGATTTAGAAAATCTAGAAGAGGTAAATGTTTTTCACGTGAATACTATGACTTACTTCTTTAAAAAAAAAAAATTCTTATTTATTTTCGTTTAAAGAAACTTGACTTGACTAGTATGACTCGTCTAGTTGGAAAACGACAATTCATTCTTGAAGGACCGTTAAAGAAAGCTAAAAGTGGACGCAATTTGCATGGATATCTTTTTAATGATATATTACTTCTTCGTCATTCAAATAAAAAAACAACTACCAAGGGACACAAATATTCCTTGTACAAGCCGGTAATTTATTTATTAATTTTTATCATTGTGTTATGTTATTTATAAGTTGCGTAATTTGAACTTTTGCTAATATTATGTAGCCAATACCTTTGAATGAAATATTTGTAAAAGATAGTGGACTAGGTTGGTTTACTTGTAAGCTTGTTTCGTATTATGATTTTACGTATATGATTTATTTGTCCTTTTTTTTTGTTTTTTTTGTTTAATAGATGAAACATGTTTTCAAGTTGTACATATAGAGGATGTTATAAACCTTCGAGCAAGCAATGTATCCGTGAAACGGCAGTGGGTTAATCAACTTGAAACCGCTAGCGGATATTGTCTTGCGGTAGAAAGAAAGATTCAAAAAGGAGGTATTTATTTAGAATAACATATACTTGTAACTTGGATATAATTGAATAAGATGCTTATTACTTTGAATGTCAACTATAATAATCCCATAATTTACAGAAAGTT